CAAATTCAATACCAACTCATACCCTCACTTAAACAAACCAGTTCTTTCCATCATTTTGCTCCTTCATTCAGTTCAAAGCAGTAGGTCCTGCTCCTACTTGTAAGAGTCTATTGAAATCTCCCCCAATCCGTCTTCAGGGCACAGAAGTGTTCTTCAAATGAATGGCGTCATGGAATGTGGTTAAAGCACACGCATGTATATCAATAAATAATGATAACTAGACTTTGTATCTCGCACGGCAACAAAGTCAATATTGATTGAAGGGCTTATCAGTAAGATATGAAAAAATAACATAATTTCTTTCTCTGTATTTCTTCTTCAAAACCTACACATTTGTTTCTTTGTATCAGTATCTGTTTTTTCTGACTTCATTCACCATTAATTCTGACAAATAAAACCTAAATCGGACAATTTAGCCACGTTAATTTCGAGACGTCATTACATCTGTAGGACTCGTATTGTGTACTTTCGTTGAAATATCGATGCAAATATTGATATATCTAAGGACAATTCCCAAACAACCAGACAATGCCAGATCCGCATGAAAACAAGGGTGAAAACTCTGAAACAAATCACAATGGTGAACTTATCAAGTTTAAACAAACAACAGTTGCTTGAAGGTTTGCCACTACATAAAGAGAGAACTAGGATAACACCATTGTGTGAGATAGTACAAATGCAAGATATGTGTAAGGATTATTTACATCAATTGATTCTCCTTGAAGGGGACCTTTGTCCTGAGTACATGTCGGTCCATCCTCTTAAATACTACGATGTTACTCTTGTTCCAAATCAATCGATAGCTTTTCTGTACATGTCTGTATGTTCGACAATATTTGACTGTTTTTTGCCAAGTCTGATACTATCGCTATTCTATTGTCAGCAGAAAAAGAGATACTCGTACAGCAAATCACGATAAACAAACAACTACCCTAAAACGCTTAGCTAAACAAACACTCTAATCTGAGAAATATCAACTCTGTAATGACGGGTGGTAGTAGTTTGTTTCAGTAACCGGCGGAAATCCTCTTCGAGGTTGAACGGATAGCGAATGAAGTGAATGACCTTTTGTTTTACAATTTATAATGTGTTTTCATATCACTATCTCGAAGGCCCAGTAAACACATGAATAACATCTGAACGGAGTTAATATCTCAGGTACTTATGCATATTGATGTACATATCTGTGTACAAGTGGCTGGGGACATAGGATTATCATTCTTGTTTACTTCGTCATAAAAAACTGTCTTACAAATAGATAGGGCTCCGCAATCTAACCGGTTCAGACATGAAAACGATACGTATTGCGATACGCTGATAGAAAACCGGTATTTTGACTTTTAATTCGGAAAAAAACACGTAACACTCGGAAACCTTGATGATTGTGGCAATTGTGGTAATGGTGGTGGGAATGATCGTGGTGAAAATTACATTTAAATATTATCTATATTCTTATTTTGTCATGATTAAAGTTTTTATTAAAGCTTAATGAAGCATAGTGATTTGGTTGTGTTTTTGCTTTATAAATAAGGCGTTAACTTGATCATTAGTAGTTTATTGTTAAAAACTTCTTGCAATATATTGCAATACATATCGCAATATGTATAAGCTTTCTCATCGCAATATATCGCAATATGAAAATTCTCTGCAATACCCACCCCTATAAATAGATTACCAGATGATCTATATTTGTATAATGAAGAGCTACCAGCATTGCTTGCATTCTCCTGCTTCGGAGGGATCTATGTATCAACAATGCTCAGCGTACACCGTGACATTTGTTTAGTCCTGGAAAAATGTTGTGGTATAATTGTCCACAACACATCCATCTCATCTGGAATCAATACATTAGAAACCGCCAGCCACACCTACAAAACAAACTCATGACCGCATTTTCTATATTTTTAAATGAAACACGACTTGTTATCGCTAATAAGTATGCAGCATTGTATTCAACCTACTAGGAATTAAAAAACACATAAAGTCATTCTTCTGCGAAATGGATTTGAATGAATCTATTATGAATATTAAAATCGTTTCTTTTTAATTCCTTTTGTATTTTCTTACATTGGACGACAACAGCTCTCTGTAGAGCCTGACATTGTGATGGTGTTATATTGTTGTGCTATTGCAATTTAGTTCATTTCGAATATTCTGATCTCCTTACTACACCTAATTTGCATTATTGCTATTGAGCGATACTTCAGTGTTGTACTGAAATGAGAATAATTTGCTGATAATGCATATTGCAGATGAATGTGCTGCTTTTCCCCTATTTCTGTCCGTGTTATAGTTTACGTGTGTACGTGATGAAACATGTTTAAAACCACAATGTATTATCTGTGGGGATGAGTCATTGATCATATCTTGACTTACCCCGGGCAGTTCATAATCAGATAAATACTGACTTCTTTGTTCAAAGGTTTAATTGCTGTAAGTGAAGCTATGATTGTCATCATAAGATTTAAAAAAATATTCATATAAGATTGAACAATCGGCTTCTAAATAGTTATTGGAAAACAAAGTGCATCGTCTGAACACGGATAGAAGATGAGGCACGAAAGTCGTCATTAGGTATATAATCAATATACAAATTGTGATGTGATCAGAATCGTAACCGTGAGCTGAATTGTTAAAGTCATTCCGATCGATTTTACTGAGCCTTCATACAAAAGTTTCCAGTTAAGAGATGAAAAAAATGTGCATTGAAATTTATAGTAGTGTAGCTGTCGATTACATCTCTCCTATTAAACCATTTTAAAACCAATTGAAAAATCTTGATTTGCTCATACCTGCATAAAAAACGACGAAACATCTGTAACTTTGATTCTTTCTTTTTTTTTTGCCTGTGTAGGAGTGCCTATGGCAAATGTGAATCTGGGAAAGAATGAAACACCTGTCTTAAAAGATTGAATATATTCTGTTTCTTTCATTCATCAAAGGAATTTGTGGTGGAATTTGCAGATGTTGATTACTTAGCACAGACTGCATTGCAAGCAAAATCAACATAGAATAACATGAAAAAGCAGCAGTGAACATCAAAATAGATTAAATCAGATGTTTCATGTACAAAGTTAGATATCTTTATAAGTTGGATAATACTGACTTTCGCATCCAGGTGTCATCAAGGCTGGCTATTCTACATGTCAAGTTTCATGTCTTCTGACAAGCCCTCAATAACATAACCATTATATGTTAGCATCATTATATCATTTGATCACACACTAGCAGTAATATATCAGATAATGCCACATACAATTCCAGTATGATCAATGAGGAGGAAATTTGCCATGGCTACACCAGTTTCTTTACTTGAATTTTACACATGTCAGTTTCTCGTTTGTCCTTGGTTCTAAAATACATATGACGTCCGTACAAAGAGAGGTATACTGCTGGTTCCAGTGTGCGAAATGGCCACTGGACCGCCAGCCTGTAGCTGGTAAAATTCCAGTCGGGCCAGCAAATCTCCGCAGTCACTGCCCCGACTGGCTAGTGCATTTTACAGGGGGTCATTTTGTAAATAGATCACTCTTTTGGTTCCATCACAAGGGATACATATGTCAGTGCAAGAACAGTTAAAGGTCGTTTTAGTAATGTTAATTAACATTTATTCATTGTGTTTTTAAAAGAAATTGAACAAATTGATTTTTTTATTGATATGTATTGTAAATAGATGTAATGTTATATTTGGAAGTGTAAATTAGTAAATGAGATTGTCAGTGACTGTATCCTCCAAGGGGGTTGAAGTATCGTAAAATTATTGTCCTCCTGAGAGGGTACGTAAGTCCCAATATATTCAAAGTAAATCTACACTTACCAATTTTTTAATCGTAGGATATGTGTGTTTTTAGTTTATGGCTGTACTTGTCTCCAATCACCAGCGGCTGAAGGGATGGTGTAAATCCAGCTAGGGTCCATGCAGGTAGCAAAGGTACTGTAAGTCCCCATGGTTACAAGTATGGTGATCTACCTCCAGCCTGTTATATATATATTTGTATTGTCCATAAGAGATTGTTTCATTTTAAAGTTACATGCTGGCTTTAGTTCTCTATCTATGATAATCTAGTTATTTTACTGTCATCCGTTGATATATTTTATATAATTCAGTTGCGTTTATTATGAATTCATTGCTTTCAAACATGCCGATGTGACTAAAAATCGTAACTCACTCACTCACTCTTCGGTAGTTACCGGAAGAAGTCAGAGACATAAATGTCTTGTAACAAATGCACAATTTTTGGAAATATAAACCTTTCTAATATGTTCACCACTGGGTGATAATATTTGGGATGAATGATAGTATGATATTTAGAAAATAATTATTCTATTCACACCGTGTCCTGATTTTCGGACAATTTCCAATTTCCTGCAAGCGGTTTGTCCAATGTGCATGTGAACATGGTCGGTTTAAAATGTCAAATTGACATTAAAACTTGTCAGTGTGTTGCTGTACGTCCAAATGATGAAACTAGACTGGAAATTGTTCTGAGATCGTATTAAACGTTTTTCTTACATGCGGCGTCTGTCATGCGTGGCTGAGTAGGGTAGAACTACTCTGACGTTCTGAGCTGGCGTTTCGGTGCCTGACTCTGAGAATTTGGGTCCAAACTCCCAATGGGACCCAAAACGTACTAGAAACTGTTATCCCAAATATAACACGTGGAACAGTGCTGAAATTGGACATTTGGGTAGGAGTATCCGTTATTGTCTTGGGAACAGATGCGGATTAACAAGATATTAATGCGTTAGACATTTCATGGAAATGATCCGGGTTAGAATGGGTCTTTAACAACCCATGCTTGTCGTAAGAGGCGACTAACGGGATCGGGTGGACAGGCTCGCTCACTTGGTTGACACATGTCATCGTATCCCAATTGCGTAGATGGACGCTCATTCTGTTCATCACTGGATTGTCTGGTGCAGACTCGACTATTTACAGACCGCCACATAGCTGGAGTATTGCTGAGCATATCGTTCAACAGTAAACAGACAAATGCATTATTCATATCTACATATATTGACATAGATGCATCCGATCAGCACCACCCGGGGCTCCAAACGTTCCCATATTTTCTGGGGTCAGATGCAGGATCCGGGTCGGGGAAGTTGGCTGGCACCATCGTCTTCTTGTACCCCTCAAACCGGGCACGCAATTTGGCAACCATGTCTGGCATCTGCTGAGCAAGGTCGTTGTGCTCAGTCGGATCCTCTGGAGGTTCAAAAGATCATTTGTAAATATTTTGGGGAAAGATGTTTTCTTCAGACATAATATACGTCCATCGTGATGTTGCGTTATTTGTATTAAACATTATGTACTATGTGGTTTGAATTCATAATTAACAGTGTTCAATGTGATGATTATGTTGCAAGTTGGTCACGTCTGGAAACCTACATCAACCCATGTCAAAGACATCCATAGGTATTAGGGGTTACAACAAACACGAGGAATGCTGCTAGGAAGTTTTGCTAGGAAGATATGATCGAGATGCTATTGTAGCAGTACATATTCGTGTTTATAACTGCTGTACATTCAGCAGAATTTGGAAGGTCATGAACGTAAATAAAAGTATGCATGTCAATGTGTACCTCGAATGTTGAAGAGATGGACAGGGCTATCTCCTTTGAGGTAAACCGTCTGTTCATATGTTTCATAATGGGTTGAGTTCATGGGTCTGTGCCAGCCATCAGGACCTCCAGGGTACCCCAGGATCAGCTTGTAGTCTCCTACTCTGATACACAAGCAAGCATATATGGATATTGGTTGGCTTTTATGATAATGATTGCATTCAGTGCAACTCTAATGATGTGAGTGCCACATGAGTGAGTGAGTGAGTTTGTTTTTACGCCGCTTTTAGCAATGTTCCAGCAATATCACCAGAAATGGGCTTCACACATTTTGCCCATGTGGGGAATCGAACCCGGGTCTTTGGCGTGACGAGCGAACGCATTAACCACTAGGCTATCCCACCGCTCCTGCTGCCACATGAATATGAAATCACCTCAGGATAGGTTTGTTTGTTGTTTAACGCCACACTCAGATATATTCGAGATATATGACGGTGGTGTGTAAATAATCGAGTCTTGACCAGACAATCCAGAGAACAACAGCATGAACATCGACGTACGCAATTAGGATACGATGACATGTGTCAGGATCCCTCTTACGACAAGGTCGCTGAAGACCAATTGTAACCCAGATGTTCAAGGGTTCAGGATCGGTAAGCAAGCATGTACAGTTACACAACTTGGTCACGAAACCTCATTAGCCACGTCCTTCTAGCTTTCGAGATGCCTGCAATGTGAATGGTTGATAAAATACCTTATGCCAGCATGTCCTTCGATTGGAACTTCAAAGTCATCAATGTTGTAAATGAACTCTGTTCTTGACGAGGGAAGACCATTTCGAATAGAATCCCAGTGACTCATTCCATCGATGGTAGTTTCTGTACTCAGAATACAATGCCACACAGTGAGGACATTTTGTACTACTTTGTTGTTGACTGTTTTAGCTTTTATTACAGCTTATCAAGCCAACGACATGGTAAGAATCATCTGACAATTCTTTGTAGTTACAGTGAGTGACTGAGTGAGTTTAGTTGTACGCCGCACTCAGCAATTTTCCAGCTATACGGGGCGGTCTGTAAATAATTGAGTCTGAACCACACAATCCAGTGATCATCAGCATGATTATCGATATATACAATGGGGAACCGATGGCATGTGTCATCCAAGTCAGCGAGCCTGACCACCGACCCCGTTAGTCGTCTCTTACGACAAGCATGGGTTACTGGAGATCAATATTCTAACCCCTATCTTCACGGGTGTTGTAGTTACAAAAATATTTCTTTGTTGCAGTTGTGACAGAGCAGAGCAAATATGACGAAGCTTTATACCTGGGATTCCCCCGGCTGCAGATACTAAAGTGGGCTTCCAGTCGACAGCGTGGATCATCCTGTTTACAGGTAGCGGTGATTGTATTTATTTGAAGCCAAACGCTTATGTCACCTGTCATTGACTACAACATTACAGTTAGGTTAATTATGTCTTCTAAAACATCGTTGATCGGTATAACAAGAATATCAATTCTGAATACCTTGCAGTGAAAGTACTCTTGTAAGATTTACAGCAAGATGACAGTGTCACCATGCACATGGCTATAGAAACATTAACATCGATCTACTGTATATGTTGTCTTTTCTGGCATTCGAGTTCCTATTCGAACAAATATCTCGAACCTATCTGATGGTGGGCTAATCACAATTTCTGCGAACTGCTAAGTAGGATCAATTATTCTATCTTGGAACAAGCATCACATGAACATTATAATTATTGCGTTAGGTCGGGTGTCATGATTTGGTGTTACCCATCGTATGTCGTCCTCGTCTTCTGGAGTCCAGCGCCATGCATGAAGGATATGCCCCTCGTTCCCCCTTCCCAGATCGTGTGTTTCCCACCTCTCAGGGGCCAGTTGTTGGCATACCCTTCAATAGGGCCTCCATTCTGAGTGAATGTTATTCCAAGAGAGAATAACACGATTAGTATTTATATGAAACATAACTATCATAATAATCAATCGTATTTAACAGTGCATTTACAACGACAATCATGCACGTATAGCAGTTCAACGTATACTGTAATGACTCCTTTGTACATTGGAAAGGTAAAGTGGTCTTACTGTACAACACAGACGGACATGGGGCTAGTGTCTATGGAATTCTAGCCATGTAATTGCACTTTCTTTGCATCGTTATTTGATATCTTTTTACAAGAAATCCATATTTAATTTGCCGCCTTCGATTCCAGAATGAGATCATGTCATACTGCTCTTGGTGTAGGCAAGCTGTCTGTAATGTTAATTAGTGAACTGACTAACAATAGCATTGGATGGTGATACTGAAACTACCTACATCTGAAGTGAATAGAATAAGAGTATTGTTAAACAAGCCCCGATCCTTCAGGGCCTTGGTGACATTTCCCACGGCTTCATCCAAGGCAGACACCATTCCTGCAGGAAATGATAGTAGTGAAAGAGTGAGTATGGTTTTACGCCGCTTTTAGCAATATTCCAGTAACGTCATGGCGAGGGACACCAAAAATGGGCTTCAAACATTGTACCCATGTTGGGAATCAAACCCGGGTCTTCGAAGTGACGAGCGAAACGTTTTAACCACTAGACTACCCTACAGCCCCGAAATGATAATAGTGGGTCAGAACCTTGACCAGTTTGAAATATGATTTGGTGTATGGAATTTACTCGTGCAAAGCAGGCCTTTGGTCATGAGGAATCTGAGACTCGAACGCCTGGTCAGTTAGCATAAAGGAGATAAAGTCTAATACAGCTCAACAAAACCAGAGTAAAATGATTGGAACGCTGATCAACAGATCTGAGAAACAGAATATTAAGGTTTCAAGAATCAATTAATAATATGGAACGTCTACATGAGAGAATAATTAGTCACGAAAAGACAGACTGACTGACTGAGTTTGGCTTTACGCCGCTTTTAGCAATATTCCAGCAACATCATGGCGGGGGACACCAGAAATGGGCTTCACACAATGTACCCATGTGGGGATTCGAACCCGGGGTCTTCGGCGTGACGAGCCAACGCTTTGACCACTAGGCTACCCCACCGCCCCGGTCCCGAAAAGAGTGGACCGGCAGACATAACGTGACATACCACAATACGTTCTTCGCCCATTGTTATTCACATGCGGATACATATCCTCATACCTCTTGGGCACCTGGAATATCAAATAATTATCGATTACAAAAGATCACACAAATAGTATTGGGATTATGAAAGAAATATGTATCATAATCCTCTTAATCCACTAACCATCGTCATCAATTTAATCACTCATTCCTAGTATTAACTCCCTTATTTCCTTCGTATTGTTACGGCGACGGATAATCCATCTCTATGGCCTAACTGTAAACTGAGGCCTATACATTCAGTTACCACGAGTATCTATTTCCCTGTCTCCTTATTGAACACATATTGTTTTTGCAGTCAGTCATAGTCAGGCAGGTGGATTTTCACGTTCTCAATACCTGAATGGGAGCATGTACATTCTGATATGGAAGGTACATAAACAGAGGCTGTGATACATTATGTAGATGGATGATGTCAACGGCTCTCTGGGCGAATGTGATCTGAAAAGATAGCAGGTGTGCACGCTAAGATTGAGCAAACAAAAGGATCCTCGATGATGTAGATAAACCACAGAATACATTATATACTAGCCACATAAAGAAACTGTGCACACAGAAAATGCCTTCAGAATTGGAATGCAACACAGCAAAGACGAAATGATGTAGACACTTTATTAGCTGAAGTATCGGACCACAAGAAATTGTCAAAAGAACATGAACAATATCCGTAACGATGACGTCAGAAGTTCAAAATCGAGTAGGGGGTCACACGGCGAAGTCACAAAGTCAATAACGGGTATGACCACCATGTGCGTGGAGCACAGCAGTGCATCGACGACGCATGTAGGCTAGCAAATGAGCATTGAAGGCCTGGGGAATGGTCTGGGGCGTGGTCACTGCTGTCTTGAAGCTGTATCTGAGATGAGTCACCCGGATCCATCTGTCCTGTCTTGTCGTCGTTACGTCGGGAACGCCCAGAACGTGGGTGGTCGGCGACGTCATTACTGTTTCGATAACGCCTGACCCATGCAGATATCGTGTTACGATGGCATTGGAAATGTGCTGCCACCTGTTGTTGGCTCATTCCTGCTCGAACCATTCAAATGGCTTCATGACGTTGAGCAGATGTTAATCTTGACATGATGTGCATGTGACTTCTCATGTGGATTTGTGAACGTTTGAATGACCAAAGATCAAGCTTTCGACAGTGACAGCAATTTCAGAGTTTCACATGTTGTGTGCAGCTGTACGGGCTGCACTTGCAGTAAGACATTGCAAGGCCATACGCCACCGTCAATGACGTCACGTCGCCTGGCACGTGCATGAGCGTTTGATTGTTCACAAATGTATTTATGTATTAATACGATGTGTACCTGTATTTATATTTTCTGTGTGCACAGTTTCTTTATGTGTTTGTAGAAAAAAATCGTGAAAGGAATGAAAATTGCAACCTAAAGATAGTCACAAAATATGTTAGAATGTCCGTAGGCATACTCACAGCTGAATATTCTCCAGAATAGTTTTTTGCCGGAAGCTTATTATCCCTGTAGTCTAGGTAGGGGCCTGATGAAATAGGAAACATTTAGAATTTTCTGTAACATTAACAAGGGTTTCATCATATCGCCCAATTATAATAAACTCTGTCAAAAAAGAAACGCAACCCCTGTCCTCAGATATGAAAAATTCGTTTGAATGAAGTTATTGCTTCCAAACTAAATTTTATTCGAATGTATTGAAATTATACACGTAATTAATGAAGATTACCATCCAAACAACTGCATTTGTACGCATAAGTGTATTTTATTGCTTATTCCGTCACAACGCATGAAGTGACCCTCATGGTGACTTCGCACAAAAAAACCACATGCAAATCATGAAAATGGCAGTTAATGTAGGGGTGTATAAAAGCCCATGTGCTTTCGTATTATATTCATTCATTTGTCGCCGAAAAGCTGTGTTAAAATGCCACGATTGAGTGCTGCCGACCGAAATATCGCCATTGGTCGTGTTCAAGCCGGAGAAAGTTTTGGAACTGTTGCACGGCACCTAAATGTTCACAAAACAACGATATCCCGACTTTGGAGCCGCTACAACAACTTCAATTTGACCAACGATCGCCCGAGAAGTGGAAGGCCAAGAATCACGACCCCACTTCAAGATCGGTACATCCGGGTCCATCACCTGCGTAATCGGCATGCCCTACCAACCGTGACTGCCACACAAATACCAGGTTTGAAGAGAGTGTCAGCTCAAACGATTAGGAACCGTCTGAAAGAAGCGGGTTTACGTGCCTGTAGACCAGTTGTTGGACCTGTACTACGCCCCCTACATCTCCGCCGACGACTCAGGTGGTGCAACAACGTAAGGATATGGACTTTACAAAACTGGAGGCGCATCCGGTTTTCTGATGAATCCCGTTTTCTTTTGCAACGTCACGACGGAAGAAAACGTGTGTATAGGAGACGTCATGAACGTTTTGCGCCCATCTGCGTCCGACAGGGGGACAGATTTGGCGGAAAGCGTTATGGTTTGGGGATCCATCTCATTCAACCAGAAATCAGACTTGGTGATCGTTGAAGGAACCTGACAGCCAACGTTACATCAACCACGTATTACAGCCTCACCTTCTCCCGATTATTGACCAACAGACACAGATTTTCAACCAGACAACGCCCGGCCTCATACTGCACGTGCAACAATGAACTTTCTGCAGAATTCCAACGTCAATGTCTTGCCATAGCCCTCTAAATCACCAGACCTCAACCCTATTGAACACCTGTGGGATACTCTGGGTCTACGCGTACGTCAACGTCAGCCGCCGCCACAGACGCTGCAACAGCTCGGCGTTGCACTGCAGGAGGAGTGGAGAGCCATTCCCCAGGAAAGAATCCGGCGTCTTATCCGTTCTTGTCCAAGGAGATGCCGTGCAGTGATTGCAGCTCGTGGTGCTCATACGAGATACTGAGAAAGACGCCCCCCTGGTGACAAACTGGTGTCTGTGAGATGACTTTTGAAATGACAATTTTAAACATGCCCATCTGGGTTATTATTCTGCCAAATTTCAGACTTCTGTCTTAAATAATAAAAATGCTGTGTCGTCTTAAAACTTCAGATCAAAATCTCTAAAATACAGGGGTTGCGTTTCTTTTTTGACAGAGTTTACAACCCGACTAGTGAAATAATACGCACCAATAGAGTGATTAAAGTGGTCTTCGAAGGCAGTATAGTAACCAAAGAAAGTATCGAAGCCTCGGTAGGTTGGGGTGCACTCCCACTTGCAGAAACCCAGGTGCCATCTGAAAATGCATGTGACTCTAGTACAGTTTCTACCCAGTGAGTGATCAGCATATCTGCATTTCGCACCATGGCTTCTGTTCCCGCTTTCTCACTTGTACAAAACAACAGTGAGTGAAGATTTTAAGTCACATCGGCAGTATTTCAGATATGTCGTTACTAAAACAAGTTATAGATCCCAAATATTTAAAGTTAAATTCAAACAAGTGAGGAACAAAACAAGATAACAGTGTCCATTGTGAATGTTTTTTTTCCTGAATGTCTAATAATGACAACGGTTCATCAAAAGAGGAAACATATGTTAAGTCATTACAGACTGTGTTAAGTACATATGTATCTTTGTTTCTTTAGTGTAAAATATTACCTACTTTCCGATCATGTGTGTAGCGTATCCGAGTTTCTTTAATTCCTGGGGCATAAATGTATAGTTGAGGGGCACACACACTGCTTGGTAAGGGAACACTGTACTGTGCTGAATAACAATGGGTGTTTGTGAGATTACCTTAGGGACTCAACATAAAAGAACGTTCGTTCTATGGTCCTGTAAAACATGCATTCCTTCAAAGTCCTGTAACATATGTGAGGACAATAATGACACAAAATAAAGAATGTTTTACAGTAAACCCTTTGTGACGTAAAACATCTTGCTCGCGCACTGAACTAGCATTCTCCGCATTTCGAAATATTCTCTCAAATATTAATCTCAAATTCTTTAATATCATTTTACAAACTAATAGATGACTGCAGCAAACGTATGATCCTGGTACCGTCAAGCTGGTTCAGTCCGTCATCAGCATATGGTCTTTGCTCCCTGTACACGCAGACCAGATAGTGAATGGGACGTCTCTCAGAAATCGTTTTAAATGAAAATCAAAATCATATACGCACTATATCTACCTAGCCATCGTTGAATCGAAAACATATGTCCCTCCTCTTCAATCCTGACTTTGATAAAGAAGGAATATCAAAATACATCACGAATATATATGACCTGAGCAGTTTTGAATTGTTCGGGAAATTCCCTCCTTTGGGATGTCATCCACATAGTGTAAGGAAGGCAAACTTACTGAAAACTACATGCATCGTAAATCTTGCCATTTATGACATATTACAAAATCACCATTCTGTTAAGTAACTGTGTTTTGACATCTGAATATCGAATATTCACTCGGAGAATTGAATTTCAAAAATGTATATTTGGTAATGATTGTTCTTTTTTCAAATCACCAAATTGGATGTTTATTCTGAAACGTTGTCGATGGCCCTAGAAATCGCTTAGAAGTATTCTGAAAATTCAAAAATGTGTACTTTCCGCCATATTGAAGAGTGTTTATAAGCTTACGTTACACGTATGTCGTTACGCCTATTACTACACGTATACATTGAAACACAGCTTCCATTACATGAATCCCTGAATTCCTGATACATTTAAAAATAAAATAACAAAAAGCCTTTGTCACCAAAACCAAGCGCCTCGGTTAAATCAATGAAATACATCAGGTGTGAAATCGAACGCCGTGCTCGGAAAACGGCACCTTCGTTAATTATAAAGAAGACAAATTACTGAATGTGCGTGTGTATCATGAATCATAGAATACACATGGGAAGAATATCGAAGCAAGAGCTGGGGAAACTAAACCATATGTATTTCAATGATCATGCACATTCAAAACATTTTTAGTTTCTGTCTATTGTGACGCCATGGCTAACTCAAAATCTATCCTGCTGCTTACAGTTTCATTTATAATGCATCGTTCGTGTCTATTAAAACATTTCTCCACACGATTCATTATCTTTTGTCTTTTAGTTTCTGTCTATTGTGACGCCATGGCTAACTCAAAATCTATCCTGCTGCTTACAGTTTCATTTATAATGCATCGTTCGTGTCTATTAAAACATTTCTCCACACGATTCATTTCACTATTGGTATCTTTTGTCTTGGGACAAGACTGGAGACCAGTCAATCAAGGGAGGTAACTAATGACCTGTTGCTTTCGGAAAAATACCTAATAATGGCACAACACTTCAACACTTTACAGAACGTTCTACTTACAATGACAGAAGGGTGGATGCAAAACATTAATATCAACCAATTTCCAAATTCTGTTTTGTTTCACTCACGAAAAGACTTGATGGGTTTTCGTGTACATTCCCCCTTAAAAGCAGAGTAGATTGTTCTGTTCGAACTATTTCTGATTCATCAGCATCTGTTTACGAGTTCATATCAAAGAAGGATAACAACAAATGTTCGCAACTAGGTGACAAACGAAACATACGGAAAGGCCTGTCAATATTTCATCTGAAAACAAAATCGGGAACGTATGGTACAAAACAGCCATCAAATTTCCTCAAGATGTGTACCCCCTGTAATTATTTTGTACTGTGTGTTCAAGCATGTTACACACAGTGTGTAGCTTTTAGGATAAGTCAAATACCTTTTTTTGGGGTGACATGTTGCCCGACCGTGGGGGAACGTACCCCTAATCCAAGATTGAATTTTCACAGTCAAGCAAAATTGAAGTGGAACACTTTTTATGGATAGACAACTTCTTTGTTGCAGCAGTAGTTGGGACGTTTCGGTGTAGATCCTAACACCGTTATCAAGCAAATGATCATCATGTAGATCCTAACACCGTTATCAAGCAAATGATCATCATGTAAATCCTAACACCGTTATCAAGCAAATGATCTTCATGTAGATCCTAACATTGTTATCAAGCAAATGATCTTCATTTAGATCCTAACACCGTTATCAAGCAAATGATCATCATGTAGATCCTAACACCGTTATCAATCAATGATCATCATGTAGATCCTAACACCGTTATCAAGCAAATGGTCATCATTTGTTTGATGACGGTGTTAAGATCTACACCGGAACGTCGCAACTACTACTGCAACAAAGAAGTTGTCTATCCATAAAAAGTGTACCACTTCATCATACCAGCTTCTAAATGCCACTTAAGGAAGTCAAGCAAAGTTGTTTTCACAGATAGGAACAGTGTCCAATACCGTTTCACGCCCTGACGTCGTTTGCTTCCTTTCACTGGAATCCATGGTGGGTGTTTTTTGCATCTGTTGCAAACTTCCCACTCGGAAAACTGGCCAGTGGGAGTTTTAACATGGAAAAAATGTCTCTCTACTGAATAACGTTTAATACGGCACAAAACCATACAGATTACTGAGCACTGACCGTGCTGTAAAACAACGACATAATTACCTGCATGCCTATGTGGAATGGAAACATTCCACTCATAAAGGAGGCACGTGATCTGAAAGAAAGAGTGTATTGACAGTTGTGTACTCGAATTAACGACTTCTTAGGTGTATTAAACACATATCTTGTCTTAACTTATAAACTCCATCGGTATATGTTTATGATGAAGTGAGAGTACTGCCACTGGTAACTCTATTACTAAATATTGGTCGAAAGTCGTATAGCATAATCCATAAAGATTCACTAGAATTATTTGTTAAGCCATAATAGTGTTGAAATTTGACCGGTTGAGGTTAGAAACCAATTTGACCTTCGATATGTTTGGCTGGGCCAATTCATTGTAAATAAACTTCGATACTTGTCTGAAATTCAAGAGCGAATTCATTAAATATATGCAAGTGTGAAATAAAACCCGAAAATGTCATAGCAGAACCAAACTTTAAATCATTTTACGAATGGTTTTCTGAAATGTATCTTAATCTGTTGCTTCATTTCAATGTGTGTCCTTTCATATGTTCTCTGTTCAGATGAGGCTAAAAGATTGTAACATGTACTTACGGGCTACACAGAGGCTGGACATATGCATTCTCGAAGATGATTCCTTCTGTGGCCAGTTTGTCGATGTTGGGTGTCTTCATGTCAGGATTCCGGAATCCAAGATCATTCCAACCTGAATAACACACAGACTCTACTGAAGTAGGATGTACACTCCTGGTAACATATCTTCGTTGCAAATAGGACAGGTATAAAGTGGCAGATAGCTTCTGTATGTATTTCACATTATATCGCGTTCTAATTGCCTGTAATATCAACACTCACCTAGGTCATCTGCCACAATAAACACGATGTTAGGACGCTGTGCCGATGACAATGATAAGAAAAACAGGAATACAGCAAGGAGCTGTCGAACCTCCATCGCGTTTGGCTGTACATCAGCAATGGCATTGCATTATACCATCTGCCAAAATAGATACCTTTCAGTGTCATAGACTCGTCTTGTAAAGATCTTTATCTCCACATTTGACCTACATGTACAGGCACATTTTTCTGAGATATGCACGTCTGTTGAAAGTACTAGGATAACATTAGAACATTTAAAGCTTTTCTGTGAAATCAAAGTGCTTCGTGTAAATCCAACCATGAACCGTCACATCAACAACAAACATTACATTACAGTTCCACGTATCAGTGTAGCAAATGTACTGTAAGTCACCACGGTCCCTAGTATGGTGATATACCTTCAGTTGATGGCGATCTATGGCCCATGTTACAATGTGTTGCTGTTTATTAATTTATTCTATTGAATGCTACCAACATGTTTTAACTTATACCTGTGATAATCAGGTTATTCTATTGTCCATCGATGACATGCGCATGTTTTTCTTATTCCTAATATAATTCGTATTCATATTAAACTTCGGGGCACAAAATGGCTAAAATGATGCCGATGTGACGTTAAATTTTACATCACTCACTCACCCATGTATCAGTTCTCTTAGTTTGACCTATAAAATGAACAACAAATAGAAACAACTTTGGCTCACAAACAGAAATAGAATTATGCTCACATTGTCATTGTAAACATGTCCACCTTTTCACGGGTTTATATGTATTCTTACATCAGTCGTATAAGATCAGTATCAGTAAATGTATTTGGTTAATGCACCATAGCAACTTATGGTTTGACATTCAGTCTCTACTATGGCAGAATGTAAAGTAACCAGATAGTTAGTGGTATTAGGTGCCAGCTCCTCGTAATCAGCAAAATATCTGAGCCTGTGGAACCCACACCCTCAGAGTGGAAATATGTCGCTGCGTGGAAATATGTCGCCTCTTATCACAAACATGAGACTCTACTGTAACTGAAGTGAGTGTATTTATCAGTTGTTTTCATTTCAAGAGACTCTTGTAAATAAGCGCGACAAAACACTTTCCATTCAAACAGCTGTACGGTTCCACTAATTCCATAACCATATGTTAATGGAACACGATAAGATGGTGATGACACCACTTGGGCACAAGCAGGTGAGCATACTATGTCCCACCAGTTGCCTTTGTCACACACACGTGCAAGGAGAGGTTGTTCATGTTGTAATGTAATGACCAATAATAAAAGTTGCAGGTGACCAAGATGAACAAAGTTAGTTGTCGTTAATTTCCCGAGGAACGTCAATATGTCGCTACGTTGGCAATCGACCGGAGAGAACAACGTTTGGGGAATTTCTAAAAATAACGTCCGGTTGGGACGGTAACATCATATGACCTTTGAGACAGATCATGTATCTAACAACTAGTCTCTGAAATGAACATATTTTACTGAAAAAAGTAAAAAAATATAATATGATGAAAAGGAGCCCTGAGACTTTCTTAAATCTAGACTTGGCACAGTTTCTAGACTTGCGTGGGCTTTCTTGGATATATTTGCTTCAGGGTCTGTACGACAGACTACTACGAAGCGTCTGTTTGTAGTTACAGAGACTGCTGTATTTACCACAATACGTCAAGCAGCGTCTCACTGTTGTGTGTGGCATCGGCATATCCCGGCTCTTCTCGAACTTCTATCACGCTCCAAAAGTTTCAACATCAAACTCATTTCATTCCAGTTCCAACTTTACTGGATATAAGTTCCACTGCCAGTGAAGGAAGCCGCCATTTTGTAACGTTTGAAGATCAAGTGTCGTAGTCCCGAATGGACATTTGAGCAAGAATAACAAATTTGAATTGTTATATTTGGGATTACACTTTCTCAGCAAAGTACAGATTCTAGTACTTTTGTTGGGTTGAGTCCTATCCGGGATCCGAACCCACACCCTCAGAGTCAGGCACCTAATCGCCAGCACACAAAGCCAGCCGCCTAACTCGCTCAGCCACCGTGGAAGTCGGACTAGGTGGCTGACATTGTGTGCTCGCGATTAGGTGCCTAACTCTGAGGGTGTGGGTTCGAATACCGGATGGGGATACCGCACTCACTCACTTCAGGTATAACTGCTCATAACGGAAGTGATTATATTTATCACAGGATCTTACTTAAAAATATGATCAACAGTTTAACACACATAACAGAAAACTTCGACCTAACCTGTGGATCGTCTTTTCATGAGTTGAGTAGGCACTTTGGAGTATGTGGACTACAGTTTGTTGGTTTTGTTGGTTTGTTGTTTTAACGACTTTATTTGTTTGTTTATTTGTTGTTTAGCGCCGCATCTTCATAATGCTCATAGCCCTGTTATATTCACCTGTTGGTTGGAAAAAACATTCCCCACCCATACAGTCCGGACCCGTGAAGATCCGGGGTAGAATAGGTCTTCAGCAACCCATGCTTGCCACAAAAGGCGATTATGCTTGTCCTAAAAGGCGACTAACGGGATCGGGTGGTCAGGCTTGCTGACTTGGTTGACACTTGTCATCGGTTCCCAATTGCTCATGCTGTTGATCACTGGATTGTCTGGTCCAGACTCGATTATTTACAGACCGCCGCTATATAGCTGGAATATTGCTGAGTGCGGCGTAAAACTAAACTCACTCACTCCCATACAGTCCGATTGATAGGAGGATTGTTTGAACCACTCAGCCAGCAGACTAGTGTCTGTGAAGGTCAGAAGAAACAGATGAAACTGAACTCGTGTAAGGACGAGTTTCATTAATTATCTTTTTCATCTTCTGACCAAGTCGCCAACAGGCCTACAGCAATAACTCCAGGAATAATATAGCACGCATGCGTTTTCATCGAAAAAAACAAATAAAGTGGTGCATTCTCTCGATTTGCGTTCTTGACGTCATCTGCATATTTAAATTCTGTACGAAACCAAAAGATGTTATTTGTCGAGAACGGGATATCTGGGAAAAGTAAAACTTTGGATGCATCTATATTTGGATCGTAATTTTAGGCTGATATGGTGCATATATACTGATATGTAGAAAAAATGCTGGGTTTGATTGGAAATGTTTGCAGAATAATAACACACATTATCACATGGTCCATACATGGATATATTGACATAAAACCATCAGGTCAGCACCATCCAGGAGTCCAAGCCCCGCCATACAATCTGGGGTCAGATGCAGGATCTGTATTGGGGAAATTGGCCGGAACCATCGTCTTCTTGTAGTCCTCAAACCGGGCACGCAACTTGGCAACCATGTCTGGCATCTGTTGTGCAAGGTCGTTGTGCTCAGTCGGATCCTCTGAATGGGTATCAGAATGATGTACGTTTTGAGGGAGCCTTTGGCTTTACAAACAATATGGATTTATCTTGATGTTGCGTATTTTTGTAAACATTTTTGGCCATGCCATGTGTATACATAATTGACAGTGTACAGTGTGTGCATGATGATGTCGGGGCAGTCATGTAATAGTTGTCATGTGTTATTGCAGGTTTAAAACCTAAACATAGTAACTCATGTGTTGGAAAACATAGGTATATTATTGTAGTATTAAATAGCTTTATCACGAGGAAAGGTTCAAGTTAAAACTACAGCTGGCCATTTGACAGTGCATATTAACAGGTACTGCATACTGTGTATTATAGAGATATAGGAAGGTCATGAACAGTTAATGTTCAGACATATTTGCATGTCAATGTGTACCTCGAATGTTGAAGAGGTGGATTGGACGATCTCCTTTGGTATAAACTGTCTGTTCAAATATGTCATCCTGAGTCCTGTTCATGGGTCTGTGCCAGCCATCAGGACCTCCAGGGTATCCGAGGATCAGCTTGTAGTCTCCTACTCTGATACACAAGGATGCAGACATAGATACTTTGAACTGGCACTTCTTTACTTTTATGATGATGATTATATTCGGTGCAAATGTTATTGTGTGATACCCCATTTGAATGTGCAAATCGTCCACGAACAGCACAGTACATTAAGATGGCCTCACCACGGATGTCCTATTAGAATTTTTCGTGCTTGTGATACAATCAATTGATTAAATGTTCACAATACCTTATACCAGCATGTCCTTCGACTGGAATTTCAAAATCGTCAATGTTGTAGATGAACTCTGTCCTTGATGAGGGTAGGCCACTTCGAATAGAATCCCAATGACTCATTCCATCGATGTCAGTTTCTACGCCCAACATGCAATAAAGGTTGCAAAACATTTTGTACTACCTTTCCGATGATCTTTTAATGATAATATGTATACAAAAAGACTGATAATTTATAGTAACAAATTCGTCTTTCTCGTTTGTGACTTTGGTCAACGCCTGGTGAAGAAATATAGATGTAAATCTCCTTACCTGGTGTCCCTCCAGCAGCAGATACTAAAGTAGATTTCCAGTCAACGGCGTGGATCATCCTGTTTAGACAAAGAATAACGTCGCATTTACTCTGAAACATCCAGCTAACTTTGCAGTTAAAGTCTAAACAATTTTGGACAAAGTAATCATGCGAACATGCGATATCATTACTGGGTGAACTATACGAATTAAAATAGTTTAGTATACTGTGACATCATCACTGGAACAAATTACTGAACTAAAATAACAAAGTGCGTTCTGCTTTTATTCGGATGAGCTACCCGTCGTATGTAGTCTTTGTCTTCTGGAGTCCCGCACCATACATAAAGGATGCACCCTTCGTCCCTCCCTCCCAGACTGTATGCTTCCCTCCTCTCAGGGGCCAGTTGTTGGCATACCTTTCAAGAGGACCTCCATTCTGAATGAAGATATTTTCATGTGTCATTACATGGCAGAATGGCATTACAGTACATCTCTTGTATGTACTCTGAATGGACAAAGAGACTGTTTAAAAATATGGATTGAGCATTACTTCAATAGACATGTGCACACATAACAGTTCAACATACTTATGCTTAGACAATGTTTTCATGGTTAAATGCAAGATATCACATAGGTAATCTTGACGCTTGTGTGTATAAAATAATGACCAAGGTATTCAAAAGGCGTGATTTTTCATTTTGAACCTAATTCGACAAATTCACACAAATACCACTGCATAAAGAAATCTTCATATGGAGATACTTAAAGGATGCATTTCATACGATACACCGTGGATGTGAACACGGTTTTGTTAATCAAGCCTCCCAATGGTGAAATGAAACAGCTTACATCTGCGGTGAATAGAATGAGAGTATTTTCAAACAAGCCCCGATCCTTCAGGGCCTGGGTAACATTTCCGACCGCCTCATCCAGGGCAGACACCATTCCTGTTTGGAATAATAGTAGTAGATCAGGGCTTTAAGAAGTTATTTCATATGTATTACAATCACATGTATGACAAGAGCTCACGTTGACACACTTGGTAGATGTCTTGCCATTCCAGTGAAACACACAACAAAGCACGTTCAGGCAAGCAAATGGTATAATCAATACTCTAATCATAAGATCCTTACAGACCTAAGAGAGACAACTCTCAGTAGCTAATTCCACCGCTTCTGATAACTGCATATCTAGTGCCTTCGTTGATGTCAATAGTAAATTGATATCATAATCCTTGGAACCATAAACATGATTATCAAAAGGTCTTTTCCAAGAAACAAAATATGCGGGTATCAGACACAAATTAAGCAAAGCAATGAATAGAAAATAGAGGGATAAAGTGCATACCACTATATATTCTTCGTCCTGTGTTGACCACGTTTGGATACATATCCTCATACATCTTGGGGACCTGTGATGTCGTATATTCGTGTACATAAGTTAACAGATGCATCATCAGTTTAACATGTATCTTTGATTGTGAAATATCTGGAATAATCTTTGTACACACCATTCATTTTCACACATAATTATCTCCCTTCGACTGATATTGTTATATCATGTTAGTGGCCAATCCTGATATGACGTGAAACAGGACACCACAAGTATGCACAGAAGGTCGTTGGAACAGCAAGCAGTCTCCTGTTGGTAAGCTTACGATTCTCTCTCTCTCTCCGCCCACCCCTTCTCTCACTCAGTATATTTCCTTGATTTACCATACACTCAGCCTCTAATCTAGGTAGTCAGAATGTAACAGGCACACGTTCTAAATGCTTCTCTGATTACCTCAATAGGCGCATGTACATTCTGATATGGAAGGTACATAAACAGAGGCTGTGAAGCATTATGTTGATGGATGATGTCAACGGCTCTCTGGGCGAACGTAAACTGAAACGGTAATAGGAATGTATACAGTGGAACCAATGAATGTGATTCGTTGTGTTTTCAAATGTGATGAGAAAAAGTATGCTAATGATTGTAGATTGTCAACTAAAACTAACAATGTGTTTCGTCATTGAATACTTACTGCAGAATATACACCGGAATAGTTTCGTGCATGGAGCAGATTATCATGGTAGTCTAGTGAAGGATCCCACCCTGAAAAAATATCAAATATATGTATTAAGAACTAAATTTACACGTACATATCTTCATGGTTCAAACGCAAAACCGTGCATACAACACGCTCCCTTAGTCCACCAAACTGGAATAATACGCACCAGTAGAGTGATTGTAGTAGTCTTCAGCCGCATTGTAGTAGCCAAAGTAAGTATCGAAGCCTCGGTACGTTGGTGTGCACTCCCACTTGCAGAAACCCAGGTGCCATCTAAACGGTAAATATTTACTGATATATTTTATAAATAGATAAACAGAATTTATAACTGGTAGATTAAAATTGTTACTGAGATTGTTCATGGCTGTATCCTTTAAGGGATTTAACGTATTGTATTGTCCTCCTGAGAAGGCCTGTAAGACCTCGTCTTCAAAATGTATTTAATCATGACATGTTATCAATCGTGGAATTATATGTGCTCGATTAATTTATGGCTAAATTTGTCATATTCACCAACGGCTGTTGGACGACGAAAATCGAGTATGGGCCCATACAGGTAGCATTAATGGTCCCATACAGGTAGCATTCATTTGTACTGATAAGTGCCCAATGGTCCCTAGTATGGTGAACTACCTTCATTTGTTGGCGATCTATAGCCCCTTTGTATATTGTAATGTTTTCAACAGTAAAAATGTTTTAGATTTATATGCTAGTTTTACATCTATATCTTGTTTTCATTGTCCTTCGTCGACAGGGTTTTATAATCTAACTTTATGTGTCATGAATGTTCAACTAAATATGGCTGAAATAGTGTCGATGTGACAAAACGTCTTTACTGTTAGACAGTGTTGTTCATTAGTGTAGCATAATACCTACTTTCCGATCATGTGGGTAGCGTAGCCGAGTTTCTTTAATTCCTGCGGCAGGAAGGTATAGTTGAGGGGCACACATACTGCTTGACCAGGGAGCAGTACCTCATGCTGAAAATGAAAGTATATTTGTGAGATGACATTATACATTCAACGTAAAAGAAAACAATCCTTCCCATTTACAAGGTTACAACATGAAGTGAAGCTGTCAAAATGTTTACGGTGGACCTTTGAAGGATGTCTCCATACTTGACGCAGCAGTTACCGAAATGATGTCCAATGCAAATTCTGATTTAGACTTTTGACATAGAATTTTATATTAATGTTACAAAGAAGCAGAAAATAAGATAAAGATAAGAAGGTTTCAAATTTGAGAGATAACCTCTTAGTTAGAACAACAAGGACCACTGGATTGAATGCCTTCTGAAAAATATTTAAATATTGCAAACCAGTGGAATGCTTCGTGTTGGGAATATACGTGTATTCCACTCTGTTGCGATGTCCGACTTGAATCATATTCTGTAGTGTGAACACATTGCTCATTTCTTTTTGTTTACGTGTGGATGCTTATGGATTGTATGCTTTAGATTCATTTCACACACTGCCCTGCAGGCCTGCGGCGTCAGGGTTTTCTTGATCAAACTCAATGTAAACATTTAGATTCACAAGAGAGAATTGGTCTTGGCGACAGATTACATCCTGACTGACGAAGCATTTGCATTCTATCTGACTGTATATTCGTTGATGCAATGAGTACCTTGCATGTATAAGGCCATTTGGTCCTTAATATCGACATTTGGACACTGTTTAATGAATGTTTCATATTCATGAATTATGACCTTACATCAGTTTACAGAACAATGGTTTTACCGCATCAATGTATGTTATTCTTCACTATTTTGTCCATTGTTGGCAAGCCTCTAGAAAATGTATAGGCTTTGATTTTTTCTAGTCACAATATGGCTAATACTTTTTATAAGTATGACGTTTGACATGGGTTTTAGCCTGGCGGTTCATTGATCGTTTAAGCAATATAGAAATTACCTGCATGCCTGCGTGGAATGGATACATTCCACTCATGAAGGCGGTACGGGATCTGAAACAATGCGAGTGTTGATGCTGGTGTAATATTGTAATGCAAGTGTGTTTCCAGCATATCAACAACTTCTGAGCCATGGGCAAAAGGAAGCATGGAAGCCAAATGATAACGTTGGTTTTGGCAGAATATTGTAACATTTGCTGTTTAGCTTTGACAAACTATTATTTACGGCTAAGCTATTATTTAACGATCTCAGTATTGTATGTTTAAACCTTTATTGAACTTTCATGTACATCTACATAACTGCGTGAGTTTTAGTTAGATATCGATATGGTCATTTGCATTGTAATGAAGTTGAGGTAAATAACCGAGCATATATTTACGGGCTGCACAGATTCTGTACATATGCATTTTCGAAGATGATTCCTTCTGTGGCCAGTTTGTCGATGTTTGGGGTCTTCATGTCAGGATTCCGGAAACCAACATCATTCCAACCTGTGCAAATATACGATGTCGCCTCAGCGCTCGGATATATACGCTGTACGACGATATGGTTAATATCTTCAAGACTGGTTACAATGATACAATGTTTTAGATTGTCTTTCACATTAACTCACTTATTAGCAGCCGTATATATATATATATATATATATATATATATATTTATATATATATATCTACACTTACCTAAGTCATCTGCCACGATGAACACGATGTTCGGACGCTGTGCTGATGACAATGATAACAAAGACAGGAACAGAGCAAGGATCATCAGAACCACCATCACTCCTGCATGTCCAGAGAACATGAGACTCATTTCTCCTATCTTCCTATATATAGATTTTGTTGTGTCATAGACAAGACAGCAATAGCACATCTTTATCTCCACTTTGACCTATATGTTTTATTTTTTTGATGCTCGCGTTTGTTAAGAATTAAGTAATAACGATTTACTAGTTTTAGACCGAGTTTGGGAATGTTGCCATCGTACGGTTTTGCTTAGGAATTTGTGTTATAAACATCAGCTCTCTGACCTCGAGCCATGGAATCTGACAACAACCATGTTGTACATTCGTATGCGTTACAAAAACATGCTGACGCGAGTATTTTAACCATCTGTATACTTTCACAACGATAGAAGAACACAACTTACGTGAAGGTCATAACATACAATGCATTGTTCAGAATGCCATGCGGAACAGGTCCAGTGAGCCTCCATGTATGTTGATGTGGATAAATCTAACATCAATCTAGAGATGTGCCAGCAACGTGTAAATTGTCAGTCCGGACCGAACTAAATAGTAATTGTTCTTGGAGCAAAGGACATACATAAACCAAAGTGACTGAGCCTGGTAACTCGTTCTAGCTCCCTTAAACACCAACATATCCTGTAGGTAGAAATATTCTAACCCCATATCCTATATATGTTGCCTGGAGACTACTTGGGTCCCTTAGAGTTTTTCCAATTAATGTAAACTATGATTATGACGAACTCAAAGGAACCACTAAGTTTAGTTCGTAATAATCGTACAGTTCGTTACAATCGTACTTTACTCTTCAGGTACTTGAACTTTGTACACATAGAGGCATCTGAGTCTTTGTCTCCAATTCGTACTTAAGTCTCTCACATACCCTGGCATACATATAGATCCATCATTCTTTGACACGTGATGGCAAAGTGAAGACGCACTGGAAGGCCAACTCAATGTTAGAGATGTCCAGATGTCAACCCTTCTGGGATAAACAAGCAAAATTAGTTTTGATCATTGATAGCAGTACATACGGGCATACTGTATCATCATTGATAGCAGACGTTTCATGGTATGATGTCGTCACCCAACCATCAGTGGCTTGCGTCATCCCAGACCAGTTCCGTGCTGAAGGTATTGGTGTTCTGAAGGGTCATATCTGTGAACTGCGACTCTCAGTAGATTAGATTCCTGAGGATCTCATACATGGTGCATAGATACGTAGGCCCTCCAAGTGGGAACCGTGTTTAGCGTGTATTTCATTACTCCGAAAACCATCCAGAAAGGGTTTTGCACATTGAACCCATGTGGTCAATCAAGCAAACAAAGAGTGACAGAGTGATATTATATATATTTATGACGGTGTAAATGGTGTGTTACATAGGCAGGAAGGTCAAAAGTGCCAATATTGTTGATGTTGGCTTTCACCAAAGTGTTAAACATGGACTTCTTGCGTCACATTGAAAGTGACGTTTAAAATAATGAGCCCACTGTAGGAGGGAAAAGGCGGAGACGATCTGCTTCTCGTAGTCCTGAATTCGGACGATAATTTGGTCAACAATCTCGGGCTTCTCTGTTGCCAGGTTGTAATGCTCAGTGGGATTCGCTGAGTGAGTGAGTGAGTTCAGTTTTAAGCCGCACTCAGCAATATATGAGGTATATGGCGGCGGGAAAGTATCGTGTCTGGACCAGACAATCCAGTGATCAAATCATGAGCATCGATCTACGCAATTGGGAACTGATGACATGTGGCAACCAAGCCATTGACCACCCGATCCCGTTAGTCGCCTCTTACGACAAGCATGGGTTACTGAAGGTACATTCTAACCCTGACCTTCACGGTTGGGATTCGCTGGTGATGAACAAGAGAGTAATATAGTGAGCAAGCGTCGTATCCTGCAAGCGTCGTCGCAAGAAAGCACGATAGCCAAATGATAGTCTTTGATCATGATTTGGAGGATTTTGTTGCCTTCTGTCAAAATACGGACAGTAAGAACCAAACAATGCCCTAGGCAGTTTCATAAAGAAGCTACCAATTTCAAGTGTGGAGTGTATGAATGGGTTTTGAGATTTTAAGGACGCTTAAATTAGCTTTTCAAGGGAGGTTACTCTGATTGTCAGTAACCCACGTTGTGGCATTGCCGAGAGTAGGAGAGACACAACAAAGGCTGGAATGCAGGAATATTCATCATGGCTTTTGACCATTTGAAACATCCATCGTGTGATAGTCTTGGAAGTTACTTTTGTGATCTGGTTATTTAGAGTGTCTTCGTCGCGTTCATGTGGATAAACAGTGGAAGTTTTTACCATACATGCTCTTTGCCATACTCAAGGTGGTCAGTGCAGGGGACTCATGGAACCTTTGGTAAGCGTTTTCAAGTGAACGGTTGAAGTTGACTTCTCAGATTAGAATCCTACAATTTACACGTCGTTTATGGCGTCATCCCTCGTCATTTAAGGCTACACTGTAGGGGGATAGAAACTTGTAAACGAATGTACCAACAACACATCAACTCCAGCAGGTAACTGGTGATTGAATACAGTCGCTATCTGAGTGAGATTCATAGATAACGGTACAAGATACAATGAATATCTGTTTATGGTTAAGGGTCTGGCCAAGATCCGATTGTTTATGGGCCACCTTAGTATGTCAGGATCATTGCGGTTCAGCGTCTGACAACGAATTCTGTTTTTGCAAATGGTTTGATAAACAGCTGCTTCTAAAAGAGCTGCACACGCTTACCCTTTTACGAACACCTGGTTTCATCACTGATGACGTTCATATATAAGACAAAATATTATTTACCTCACGAAGGGTAAAGAAAAAGCCCTGAAACGTTGTGTATACATTAAAGAAGAAGTTGACATCCATAATATTTTGTCTTATATTTAAATACCAACTTCCATATGCCTCTCAAGAACCTACATTCATATACTTGTCACTATGCTCAATAATAATACTTGTCGTCTAGTTGTGGAAACGATGTTGATGCCTCTCACGCAAGTTGGCGACTTTGATGCTAGATTCATATTAACAAGACATTTAAATGTTTGATGCATATGTCTGTTAATATTACAGAATAAAACAAAATGACCGTGGTGACATGTATCCCAGTCGACTCTGCAGGTCGCTGCTCAGAAAGTGCTGGAATCCCACGTGGTTTGTTATCGCACTGCTGATTTCAGAAAATAAATGTTGAATGTATGTAGCGAGCATAACATTGGGAAATACTTACTCACAAAATATTACTGAAATAAGGTTCAAAGTGGAGTTAGATAAACCGCACCGACTCACTGACGTCAGGTATAACTGCTCTTAACTGATCAACAGTAACTCACATAACAGTACATCGTGACGTAAGCACCGTTCGCCACCTTAGATAGGACAAAAATATTCTTTGTTATCTTAAACTAACCTAGAGTCAACGTTATCTCTGAGACATCGCTAGTAAATGCACACTGTGTTGAACCAGACGAAAGGTTGTTCTTATCACCAACTGACAGTGATTGAGAAGCACACGCCCTTGATATATACACATGAACATAAATTTAGCACCACCTGAATCGTAGGACAATCCAAACTTTGGTCTAAACAGGCTATCACATCATAGCCACATACCAAAGTGGGTTGCACATGTAAGAGACAACATCTTCATGCGCACCCCCCACCCCCCTACACAAACACACACACACACACACACACACACACACACACACACACACACACACACACACACACACACACACACACACACACACACACACACACACACACACACACTATCCTAAAAGCCGTGGGTCTCTTTTTCATGAGCTGCATAGGCACTTTGGAGTATGTGCACTACAGTTTGTTGGTTTTGTTGGTTTGTTGTTTTAACGCCTTTATTTGTTTGTTTATTTGTTGTATAGGGCCGCATCTACAAAACGTTCATATCCCTGTAATATTGACCCGTTCATATGAGACAAACGTGCCGACCCACACAGTCCTATTGACAGGAGGATGGTTGTACCACCCAAGCCAGCAGACTAGTGTTTGTGAAGGTCATGTGACTTGTAAGATCAGATAAGAACACTGATGAGATTGAACTCGTGTTCGGACGAGTTTCATTCCCTATTCGATCTTCTGACCAAGTCGCCAACAGACCTACAGAAATAACTGCAGGACTAATAAACGCATGCACCTTGACTTCAAGTGATTATACGTCGTCGAAAATATGACAACGCAAACAAATAAAGTGGTGCATTCTCTCGATTTGTGTCCTTGACTTCATCCTGGGGTTTAAATGCGATATTGTCCTATTCTGTACGAAACCACAAGGATGCTACATGTCGAGAACGGGATATCTGGACAAAATAATGATGCAACGATTATGGAATACTTTTAGATGCCATGAGACCATCCTTCATTCATGCATATATATTTGTATCATAATGTTCGGTGTATATTGTATGGTGTATATATACTGATATGTAGAAGAAATGCTGTGTTGGATTGGAAATGGTTGTAGAAAAAGAACACACATTATCACATGGTCCATACATGGATATATTGACATAAACCATCAGGTTAGCACCATCCAGGAGTCCAAGCGCCTCCATACAATCTGGGGTCAGCTGCAGCATCGTCGCTGGGGAAATTGGCTGGAACCATCGTCTTCTTGTAGTCCTCAAACCGGGCACGCAACTTGGCAACCATGTCCGGCATCTGTTGTGCAAGGTCGTTGTGCTCAGTCGGATCCTCTGAATGGGTATCAGAATGATCTTGATGCTGCGTGTTTTTATAAACATTTTTGGCCATGCCATGTGGATACATAATTGACAGTGTACAGTGTGTGTCTGATGGTGTCGGGGCGGCCATGTAATAGTTGTCATGTGTTATTGCAGGTTTAAAACCTAAACATATTAACCCATGTCTTGGAAAACATAGGTATATGGTTGTGGTATTAACTAGTATAATCAAGTTAAAACTACAGCTGGCCATTTGACAGTGCATATTAACAGGTACTGCATACTGTGTGTTATAGAGATATAGGAAGGTCATGAACTTCAAAGTTCCGACATATTTGCATGTCAATGTGTACCTCGA